GGATTTTTCCATTGGATTTTGAATTATTGCAGAAATAAGCTTTGTGTTTGATTCTTATTATGAACACATTTTGTTAATCACCAGTCTTGACAAATGAACACAACTTTGTGAATTTTAATGCCAATACATTCGCCAAAAGCTAAATGTAGGCTATAAACACACTGCCTCATGGTCACACTTCAATGCCACCATCAATAAGCTTCCAACAACTCTTTCAGTCTATATTTAAAAAATATTTTCCCTGAAAGATTGAGTTAAAATAGTTTGCAAGAGCGCAAGTATAAACACAGAGAGGCTGTGAAAGCGGACTAGTGAGTTTTCAAGACAAGTAAAAACATTAAAAATCATATTACTCTTGTATTTTATGCTATAGAATAAAATGAGTGCTGTCAATCAACTCATTTCTTTTTTACCAATTAATCGCACATTTTTCTGTAATTATTTGCACCTAACATTACAGTTAATATATTTTTATAATATAAAAAATTTACATTTAAAATCCAAATTAATGCAGAAACAAAGACAGTAGCCTACATTTTAAATATTTTTTAATGGCATCTTTTGTTGAGAAAGCCAGCATCACAGATACACCAATACTGCTACTGATGTCTGATGATGATTGATATTTTTTTTTCTCATTTCAGCCATTACTTATAGCCATTAAGCATTCCAATATAATTAAAAGCTATACATTTGAACATTTATTAGGTCTTTAAAAACAGAAACTTTTAATTTAAGTAAACTTCACATAAACCTGCAACAATAAATGCCTTCAATATATTAAGGCTACATTTTTTTCTATTATCCCTGTCAAAAACTGCATAAAAAGTTATTGTTTAGTTGTTTTTGACCCATGTAAGCTTGTACACATGTAGGTCTAAAAGGTAGGATATATACAGAAATGTTATAAAGATATAAAACAGTTCACAGTTTTTACTTATTAAATATAGATTAATACTTAAATATAGATATTTAAATAATACATACTTAAAGTATGCTTAAATAAAGCTACACAATTTAAGTCAAGAGAAGTGAGTGATTTTCACTTTTTCTTTTGATATTTATCCAACCTTAATAAAAGACAGCAGCAGGTTTAATAGGCTGCTGTCACTTTAAAACCTAAAGCATGTGACGTGAATCTGATACACATCCCACAAGTCTTTACACTTATTTAAGACTTAATAGAACTCATTTAAGACTGTGTGTACGAGGATGCTCGCCAAAACGGGCGCTTTGGCATTTCGGGCGCAACAGCTTTCGGTGAGCATGAGTTGTGTGTGTGTCACAGGATAGGAGATCCACAGATGTGAGCCCTTACCGCACTGCGTTCTTTTTTTTGTGTCTTATCACACTCGAATGGTTTAAAAGGATTTTATGAATAAGAGTGTGATAATTTACCGTAATGCTAGCCAAAGGATGATGGGGAAAAACGGATGCTGCGTTAACAGCATTAAATATTTTTAGTGCATTAAGCTGAAAAAAAATCCATTGCATGCAAGAAGGCATTAATTTTGACAGCACTACTATATATTTGTTGTTGTTTTGTTTCTCACTTATTTCATTTGACTTCGAGGACTCCACACTTACCTGTTAAGATGTAGTGCTCACTGAGGGCCTCTAGAGGGTAGGATTGTGTTGGATAGCAGGACAGTGTGGCATCACAAAACTCTTTTAGCTTGGCCACCTCATGAGGAAGCTGAAATGGATACAGAATATGAAACTCTTGCTTTGGATCAGTCATAATTATTATTGTGTAGCTATATTATTATAATTGTGGCATATAGCACTTGCCAACCTTAGAAAGACATTTAATGTAATCCTGTGAGAGACTGCTGTGGGCTTCACTGGGCACATCTACTGTCATTTCCAAAGCTCTTTCAAATGCTGATATCAGCTGTTGAGAAAAGGAAAACACACTGTAAGCTTACATGAAACGTACATGAAAAAAAGAGCACTTCAAAATTCTCAAAAAAAAAAAAAAAAGAAGCATTTCATAACTAATCCATGTAAATCAGACTGACGTGCTGCTGAGTCTCATTGTCCTGATCCTCAATAGTGTCTTGCAGGAGTCTGGTCATCTCCTTCCACAGCTCCAGCAGCTCTGAATCCTCCACCCCTTCCTCTCCCTCCTTCATCTGGATTAACCTCCGCCACACTCTGGCCACCTGTGGGTAGAGTTTAAAACATATGGCGAATCAAACCTGATGTTGATTTTAGAAATAATGTGTAGATTTGTGAAGGTAACAGACCAGTGCAGTTCTAACCTCTGAAATCTTCTGTTGTAATATTACAATATAAAAGTTCTATATATATTACATATATCATATCTATATATACACAACAACATTACAATATAAAAGTTCTATATATATTACATATATCATATCTATATACACAACACATTACAATATAAAAGTTCTATATATATTACATATATCATATATATATATACACAACAACATTACAATATAAAGTTATGCTTGTCCTAGATCATACCTGTAAATAGTTCTTCTCCGACTGAGAGATTTCCACCAACTTCTTGCTCACTTCGAAACATTTTGCTTTGTCTGAGCTGCAAATGCAGAAAAACATACATGGATCAAGAAAATTGTACATAGATCAAGAAACTACACCATGCAGCATCATACTCATTTTTAAATGAGGCTCTTTCAACCATATGATTTCTTTTTTATTACAAAGCTCTATTTTATTCAGGTTAAAGGATTCATCACTTGTTCTGAAGCAGTCTTCAACTTTTATTCTGCTGCCCCGGAAGAGATGTGCTCCTGTCACTTCTCATTTATGTGCTAATAACCAATAAAAGTTTTGTAGACAATTCAGCTTATGTGTTCAATAAAATGACTGGCATGATTATAGAATGCAAGTTCAAAGAATTTCACAGATTTTTAATTTTTTTTTTTTTTTAATTTTTTTTATAAAAGCCAAATTTAAAAAAAAAGGTGTATAGGAGACAATTCCAAAACCAAAGAAACTCTGGTAAATTTTGATCATGCAAAAAGGAAAATAAAAAGAATGCAGGGGTAAAATCTAATTTTTTAAATCTATTATAGCCTATCCTTTTATTTTAAATTAGATTTTTTTCCGTTTAAAATCAATCTAGCAGAAAAGAACACCAACTTTACTTACATTTCATACAGTGTAATAAGTTTCTGGTAAATCTTGGGCAGCTCGGCTTTGAAATCTGCCTGGTCACCTTTTTCGTACAAATTTGCTAAACCCTGTAAAAGAAATCCACATCTCGTAAACCTTCATTGTTCGATCAGCAGTGCACAATATCATTAAAGACCACATTAACAAGTGAAAGTAACATGTGAAGGCCAAGTATGGTGGTAACTGGTAACCCATACCCAGAATTAGTCCAAGGGCATTTAACCCATCCAGGTTTGTGCACACATACAGCAATGACTCAGTCATTTCCTGTCGGTATTGAGAATCGAACCTGCAACCTTAGGTTTACCAGTCTGACTCTCTAACCATTAGGCCACAACTTGCCAAATGGCTAACAAACTGTGTCCTTAAACAAACACTATATTTCATGGACCATTCATTAAAGTTCATAAACTACAACCTACCTGCCATGCCAGCAGTTGCTCTGGCTCCAGTTCAGTAGCCTTTCTGTAGGCGATCTGTGCCTGATCCAGCTGCTGCAGCTCTGTGGCTGCCACTCCAATGAACACCCAGGCATTGTAGTTATTCTTCTCAAGCTTGAGAACAGCCTGGAGTACAGAAATATGGTTTAACTTGAGAGTGAAATGTTTACCTTGTCTACCCATTCAAATACAGTCAATCAAGAGAAAAAGTATGAGATGGAAGTTATTTAGTGTATGCTGACAAGTGGAAGGAAACACTTACCTTACAATGTTTCAAAGCTTCTTTAAACTCTTTATTTTTAATGGCTTCTCTTGCACTTTTCAGCTCAGCTTTCACTTCTTTACTGGACATTTTCTTAAATAATTTGACAGAGATAAATCAATGTTAACGAAACATAAGCAGTAGTAAATGTTTCCAGTTATGTTGCCTATTAACTTGCTGATGTAGACATAACTAAATTATCATATTATAACACTTATTTTCAAAGGAATTCTGTGTATTTCTAGAACGTTATTGTAAGAAATGTACGTACGGCAGAACGGGCAGAACTTGGTTTGTTTCCATTCAGCAAGCAGTAAAGTGCGCATGCGTGTTGCGATGCTTAACCCTACGTCATTTTACCGCGACAAACATTGTATCTATTTATCTAAAATTAAAAATATATATATTTCCCGTGCGTTGTATTTGTTTAATATTTATAACATATGATATCAGAAAAGATTCTAATACATTATTCCCAGAGAGGTGTCAAATGTAAACTCTACCTACCTTGACCATGTTTGGAGGCGGAACAAATGCTCAGCAGCCAATCCGTTGAAGGATTGACTTCACACGAACCAATCACTGAACTGGTGTATTGTACTACATTAGTATGTCCCATGTGTTACCCATGTGAGCGACTCGTTGAATCAGAAGAAACTGTAAATTAATGAATTTTTGTGTGTTTACTCTTCTAAAAGCTTATTGTAAATCCTGTGCAAATTAAGAAAAAGAGGAAGAAATCGTCATTAATTGAAGAAAAGTTTCACGAGGTTTGGTGTCACGCATCTGTTTTTATTATATTACTTAGAAATGCTGTATTATCAAAATACACCACTTTTGCTTATTGTTTTACAAAATACTTATACCTTTACTCTTAGTTTTTTGTTTTGTTTAGTAAATGCATATACAGAAAGTGTATAAACATTATCGAAGAGTAATAACAACCGTAACATCTCTTCAACAGATGGAAGAACCAGATAACATTAATATTGAAGAAGGAATGGAGAACAAGAGTGCAAAACAATCTAAGGATCCCAAGCGAAAGGCAAATGACACAGTCTCGGATGGTGGGGTCTTACGGCCTCTCAAACTGTCCAAAAAGGAGCTATTCAAAGCCCCCACAGTGGAAGAGCTCAATCAGCTGAAAGAAGCAGAAAATCTCTTCCACTGTAGCATATTGAAAATGCAGGTCAGAAATCACATTCATGTTTTACTGTCATTTTATGTTACCATAGCTGCATACATGTTTTATTGTAAGCTATAGTATGCTCAATGAGTTGCTCACTGCATGACATGGCTGTGAACTGTGAATCATTTATCAATGTATGAGACTATGTGCATTATTACAATATATTCAGCTTTATTTATCACTGATTTATATGGTTGATGTTCAGATGGAAGAACTGCTGAAAGAAGTGGCCCTTAGTGAGCACAGGAAGAAGCTGGTGGACTCTTTTGTGCAGGAGGTTACAGATTCACTGCAGTCTGTGCCTGATTCTGAAGTTGTGGAGGTTAGACATTTGTGCAGCATTTACATTGTCATCAGCAGCGTAGCTTTAACACTTTTTTTTTTTTTTACTGATCTCTATGGTAGCTGTCAGCATAATTTTCTTATTAGTATTTTCTTTCTCTCTAGTTGGATGATCTTTCATGGTTGCCAGGTGTGGAAGTCCCATTCCTCTTCGCCTCGCTGGAATCAAAAGGCAAATTTCACATGGAGCCTCCTGCATCAATTGATGTGGTAGGCAGTTATCCACTGGGGACCTGTATCAAACCCAGAGTCATTGTGGACTTGGCTGTCACTATTCCAGCTGTAAGTTATAAACTCCAAAACAATGGTGCTATTTATGCAACACATGTCTCTCTTTGTCCATCTATACATCGATCCATCTTGCATCTATCTAACCATAGTTCTAGCATCTGTCTGTATAAATATATATATACACACACATTTGAAGTGGATCATAAAGTTAATCAAAGTTGTCCTAAGACGAGAACGGGTATTCAAAATTCATGTATGACTTCGATGAAAGGTTTTGACCCACTTGTTGACTGCTGTTTATGAATATATATTTTACTGTCGGTTTAATGTGTGGATTTAATTAGTTATGGAATTATAATGCAAATACATACAATTAATTAACGCACCTGCCCTGACTTACAGTCATCATACATTTCATACAGTTGATTGGTGATGAACATGAAGCAGGAAACTCACTTCGTGATGTTGCCTATAGAATACAGTTAGAATATTTGTTTTAACAGAAATCTGTTTTTGTGTAAATGTGATATTGATTTTATACAACAATAGTATATATCAGGTACAATATTACAATACAACATTGTCTGTTTTGTTATTTTCTCAATTTTGCCAACAAAAATATTAACTGTAAAGCCACAGTAGAACTGTTGTGCGCTCCAAGCAACACACAGCGGTGTTTGTGTCTGAATGTATCCGTGTAATCAATCAAGTGAACCGATGGTTAAATGGCCCATTTATAAAGAGAGCCCTTTACTTCATCCCTGAATGTTTCAGCTGTTTAAACGGATCGAATGAATGAATGAATGACTCAATGACTTATTTATCTAGACACAACCTACTGGCATTTTTACTTTATTTAGAGTATCACTTATTTAAAAAAATATATATATATATTTTATTTCATAAAATGAAAATTATTCTTATTTACCCTCATGTCATTTCAAACCTGTAGGACTGACTTTTGCGAAACATAAAATAAGATCTTTTGAAAAATGTTGCCAAACAAACTGTTTTAGTCTGTAGATGCAGCATCTGAAAACAAAAATCATGGCTGTTGTAGCTGAAACATTTGAATGTTGAATCAAATAAAATATTTCTTTCTTAAGTGATTTTTTTTCATACTTTTCTCATTTTATACAATAATGATGACTTTATATTTTGGGGCCCTAATAAAAATATGTGTGTGTATCCATCTATCTGTCATATGTTTTGTCTGTGTATGCGTGTATATGTCTGTTTGTCTAAAGTATTGTGCAAGTGATTCAATCTGTTACTATCTTCTCTTTGAAGTCTATTTTGCACCCGATGGATGCCATTAACCAGCGGTACCCACGAAAGCGAGCGCTGTATTTGGCTGGCCTAGCGCAGCACCTCTGCTTCTCAGAGTCTGTGGGTTCACTGTGCTACTCATGTCTCCATGGCAACCGGCTTCGCCCAGTCCTACTTCTCAAACCCACAGGTACAATTGTATTAACACTAGCTTGTGAACACTTATTAGCTTCTTCAAAGTTTGCACTACACTTACTTGCAAATGCTTTCATGCCAAAGCAATTTACATGAACGTGCACGCACCATGTCTACTGTTAATATCTGCTCACATCATTTTGGCTTCCAAGTTAATTACTGTTTAGCAGATGCTTTTTTTGGTGCTTGGAGTACACTGATAACACTTAAAACACTTAGACTAGTTGATCTTGTTCAGGAGCATGCATTAATAAGGGTTTTCATCATTGCTTCAAACTAAAATGATCATGTAACCTTTGTGTTTGACCTGTAGGTAAAGACAGCAGTAAGGTCACGTTGCGGATTCATGCCATTCCTCCTCCGGACTTCCTTAAACCTAGCCGCTTTCATCCTCGGAAAAACAACATCAAGACTGAGTGGTTTACAGGTGTTGCCAATAAGCAGCAAGGTACTGAGGAACTTTCTGAGATCACACAAGGCAGAACACATACCGACATGTCGTCATAATATTTTCTGTCATTTTTTATCATGCAGAGAGCAGTGGGCCCGCTACTCCTCATTATAACAGCACAGTTCTTGGAGATCATCTCCCACTGTCACATCTTCAGTTCCTATCAGCCATCAGCGCACAGTGTCCTGCTTTTGGAGATGGTGTCGCCCTCCTCAAAGTGTGGATGAGACAGAGAGAACTGGACCAGGTAAGACCACAGTATTTCTGCGTGTGCGTTTTATGTATTACCACATTGAAATAACAGTAGTGACTTGAATAGAAATTGTGACAACCTGTTGGATTCATTTATTTTGTAGTATGACCTTTTATTTAAAAAAAAAAATGTTGTTCATAATTGCTACATGTACATTACTCTTCACTGTTTATACATGCATTTATTCATGCACTATCTCTTTCTTCTTGCATAATTGTATCTTTAGCATACTTGTACATACATATTTTGTCTATTTTGTTCAGTCTATCTGTTTTTTCCCCCACACTATAGTTAAACAACTTGTTCTTAGAGATTTTTTTTAAGATACAATGTCTTTTTTTGTGCCGTCACAAATTCTGTTTAATAAATTCTGTTTCTGTCATTTCTTTAGGGTGCAGGTTGTTTTTGCGGCTTCCACGCATCAATGTTAATGGCTTATCTTCTATCCACACACAAAGTGGGCAAAACCATGAATGCGTACCAGCTGTTCAGGAATGCACTGCACTTCTTGGGTAAGCAAGGTCATAGTATAACTGATTTTTATAGCTTGTTATTATGGTGGTTATGGGAGTGTATTCATCAGTTTAATCATCTGGGTCACTTGATAAAGTTTTTCGGTTCCTTGCCACTGTTGCCTTTGGCTTGCTCAGTTGGGGATATTCAAATTAATCAATCAATCAGTAATACCCTTGATCAGCTCTACCAAACGAGGATGTTTTCCACTAAGAAACGAACATTGATTGATTCTGTGAAGCTGCTTTGATGCAATCTTTATTGTGAAAAGCGCTATATAAATATACTTCTGCTTTATCCTTTCACATTTTCAGCTTCCACAGATCTGACAGAGAGCGGGATCACCTTGGCTAGAAACCCAGACTCAAAAGCGGTGAGCAGAAGTGACTCATGCATGCACTGTTTTTTTAAACTGTTTTGCCTTGTTTGCATTACAATGCCTTTCTCTTCTCTCCTGCTTCAGCCCTCACTGCAGGACTTCCAGGCAGCATTCTCCGTGGTCTTTGTGGACCCGTCTGGGCATCTCAATCTGCTTGCAGACATGACAGCTTTTACCTACAAACAGGTGAGCTCTGATCTAGTATCAATTTAGCTCAGTGAGAATGTGATATTCTCTTACTATACAGCGTCTAGAATTAACATTTAAAGTAAATTTAACATGTTATTTTAGTGTAATTATACATTTTAAATAAATGTATTAAAGGGCCCCTTGACCTGACTGTACATAAAGACTGTAACCAGTTGTCCTGTATTCTAGTCAAAGATTTACTTGTCTGCCAAAATAATGTAATGCCTTTAAAATATATTGGGGCAGTGGTATTATCGTTAACTAAATTAATAAAAATAAAACATTTCTGTTAATTGAAATAAAA